ATATTCTTGTGATGTGGAATTGAACTGAATGATCCCGCATGCTTTTAATGTCTCAAATAAAATTGTAGTCCAAAATTGGAAAGATATAAACATTCACTATCTCTTGTCTCACCATTTCAATAATATATAGTTTTGGAAATATAGTTAACTTATTTATACACACACAAACACACACACACACTTTGTTCATATCCTATGTACTTTCCCCCTTTTTCTTTTCTTTTTTTCTCTGTCACTCTTATATCCTTTTTTCTTTATAACTTTAAAGTCTATTATAAAAACAAAGATGGCATTACAAAAGCACTACCAAAAAATAGTTAGCACACAATTCCATATGGTTAGTTCAGATGTTCAGAGGATAAGGATCTGAAGAATCAATTTTTCACTCTCTCTCACTGGGTTCCCAGCAGGAAATATTAAGATTATGCAACGTATGGAGGGAACAGATTACCACTATGGTATTTGTAGTTCTAAGGTCTTTCACTGGTTGGTAAGCAGTTCCACTTAATTCTCTCAAATTTATCATGTGCAGCACAAAATGATGTAGTAGTTTGAGTGTTGGACTAGGACTTTGTGAGATCAGGATTAAAATCTCCATGCAGCCATGGAAACTCGCTGGGTGACCTTGGATAATTTTTTTCTGAATAAATCTTACCAAAAAGGTTTGCGTCCCGTTAAGAATTTACGACATCATAAGCCAACTTATGTTTGTGCAGTTTAAATCTGCAGTGCCACACAAGAGTCTTATTTCCAGGAGATTAGCACTGTCAGGAGGGCCAGTGTGGTGTGGTGGTTTGAGCGTTGGACTATGACTCTGGAGACCAGGGTTCAAATCCCGAAGCAAGCATAAAAACACACTGGGTGATCTTGAGCAAGTCACACTCTCTCACCCTCAGAGGAAGGCAATGGTACGCCTCGCCCCTGAAGAAGCTTGCCAAGAAAACCCCATTATAGGTTTGTCTTAGGATCACCATAAGTCAAAAACAATTGGAGGCATGCAACAACACTGTCAATATTGGGACCACCACGCAAGTAGAGCAGGCAGTGCAGTTGTTGCATAACAGCTTCAATACACAACTTTAGGGCACTCTGAAGGAAAGACTGCCCTAGCACAACGAAGGGAGCCAGTGGTGGTACAGAAAAGAGGGCAGTGGAAAGTCATGGGCGCCCTGTATTGGATGGGAAAATGTCTCTACCTTTCATAGCCCAACTACACAATGAGACATCTTAAATGTTGTCCTGTTATGTGACTGAAACCTCCTAAACCCAACTGCACATCATCTCAATTTACTGCCATGGTTGTATATCATGTCAGAAACAATCTGTCACCATAAAATTACTCGTCACAGCCCTGGGATGTAATATATAGCCCTAATAGTGTTTAGGATTGCAAGCCAAAATTATGGACTCAAAAATATCTTGCCCTGTTTTGTCTGACCCCTACTGGCATTGCCAGTTTGTATATTTCTGAATCCACTAAATCCAGCATTAGCAAATTTTAACACCATCAACAAGGTTAACCTAAGACTTTTGAACAGCAACTCCCAGCATTCCTTACCATTAATACTTTTGAACAGCAACTCCCAGCATTCCTTACCATTAATAAATTGGCTAAGGTTCTTGGGAGTCCAACAACATATAGAAAGCTATGGAATTCCCAGCCCTGGGCTAATTTCACGGACTAACACAGCTATCTTTGAATTCTAGAAGCACATTATGTACTCCACATAATGTCATATAACTGAACCACTTCAGTGTTTCAAAATTCCCCATGCCAATATGGCAGACTTTTAGCCGTGTCCTTATTTTACGAGGGAGTATCGTAAATAATTATCGCCCGGAAGTTATTATGGTATATTGATGAAATTTTGTCAGTGACCTTTTCTTTTCCCAAAAAATGAAAAATCTATTGCAGAGTCGCCGATTTGACAACACAGATGATGTCATTCATGAAGTGGAAGAGTGGCTTAAGGCACATTCTGCAGACTTCTACAATGGTATTCGGAGGGTCAAGAAATGCTGAGAAAATGTGTAAATCTGGATGGTGACTACATAGAGATAAGTTAACAACTACAAATCAAAACAAACTTTCTGTCAATTTTTTTAAAGGTGATAATTAAAACTTTACATACATTCTGGCAGGTTTTCCACAACATCTCATTTTCCCAATGAAGATAGTTTGTTGCATGATTAAGTGTTTTGCATATCTATGTATTATTAATACTGTTTAATATATTTTAAGGATAATTTCTCTCAGTACAAGAACAGCTTGTAAAGAAAGCCAGCCATTCCAAGATGGCACAGAAGACTGTATGACTCTAACCAGCAATATCTATAAGGCAAATGAAGCCAATCAGCAATCTTTTCTCTTTCCAAGTTATTCATTTTAGCATAACTGATGCTGCAGGATCGTGTTTCTTCTGTCCTCATCATAATTCATTCAAAAACCACATCAATTTTCTGCTAATCGTTGCCATTAGTATGCAAACAGATGGATTTTATAATTAATTTGACTTCAGGCAATACAGTTATAGACTCACAGGATAATGCAACTTTTTCTGCAGTTACCAGTTACTGATAGTAACCTAATGTCATATCACTCAATTACAAGTAACAGTAGTATAATAACAAAATTAACTCTGCTGTATACTATCCATCAAGACCAAAACAGTTTGACTAAAACACTGCACTCAGTTACAGATATTTAGACCTATTATTAGACGAGAAACCACCAAGGGATACCAAGGATTTCCAAGGCAGGCCTAGGAAAGAATCCTGCCAAAAACCCTCAAAAAACACTGCTAGTCAGATCTAGCAATTCTACCTAGATTGGCCAGTGTATGATTCAGTATAAGACAACTTCCTATGGCTTCTACCCAAACAAAAGAGTCAAAAAATGTACTGCTTTTTTGCCCCAAGGTACTTTCTGTTACAATTAACTGTGGGGAAATGTCCCAAGTTGTCCATTTCCTCACAAACCATTACACAAGAAAGCAAAAGTGGTATACTGTGATTGTCAGTACCTTGGGCATAACTGGGGACACTGGTATCCATGAAGCCCTAGCCTTTAATACAATAAAATTCTTACTAGGCTCAAAAAATACTCCACAACTCACGCAATACAAGTTTGTTCATTTCTCAATCCTGGTGCCTGAGAGTTCAAAACTGCATTTAAAATAAACTGCATTTAATTCTAGCACATTTGTTTTCTCTTGCCCACTATAATTCTGTTAGAAAGATGTGTAAATATTCTTACACCAAAACTAAACCCCCAAATGCTATATCCAGGCAGCTACCATATATAATTATTTAAACCCAAAGATGCATCTATCTTCAGCAGCTAAATACAGTACCTTAAAAAAATAATAAGGAAAAGATCTATTTGCCTAACCAGCAGCGTCACTACATCAAATCAAGTAAGTAGAGCAGTATTAAAAAAAGAGCAGTATTACTGTCTCAATCTCAAATCCCTTGGATAAAAAGATCAGGATTTAACCAAATTACCAAATGCACAACATGTTGAAAAGGCAGTGGAAAATACTTTGGAATTGCTAGCTCAACTTACAAAAAAGCAGAAGAACGCAGAAAGCTATTAAAATTCTAAGATTTTTGGCAATCAAAGATTTGGATGATTATTTCAACATTTGGACTCCCCAAGACTACCTCAGAGTCCCTATTTCCACTGGAACCCTTTTCAGGAGTAATTACTATTTCTCTCATAAGCATTTACCACCATTGTCTAACACAATCTAAACACACAGCTGGAAAGCAAAGAGATGTTTCCAATCTCCACTACGTATCCTGGCAATTTCTGTTCTCCCCATCATCAAAACCAGCCCTACAATCCATTTTCCAAGCCCAGATTCACTTTTTCTTCACCTAGCATGAACTTAGATTATGGATTGCAAGTGCAGGCAGGTGAGTTGCAGGTACATTTTCACCTTTCTCCCACCTATTCTCCATTCAAAGAGGCATTTTGCTGAAAGCAAATACATTTGTCCCTCCTGGTTCGCGGACTTACTGTCCGCGGTTTTGATCCTTTGCAGACGGCAACGCAGGAGGGACAAAATGGCGCACGCACAGCAGCGCACATCAGATCATGCCACCATTAAAATAAATGGGGCTTGAATATTGACATTTTTTCCCATTTGCGAGGGGTCAAAAATGGATCCCCCGCAAATGGGGAGGAACAGCTGTATTAGAAATACACTGACAACACACAAAGCATTTGGAGAACACCTCATACACCCCCACTTATCAAAAGAGCTTGTCTCTTACTGAATTTAATGGAAGACACTAATAGAATCACCATTCTCTGGCCCGCTGAACACTGTCTCTCACCTTCAGTGTTTTTGTTTTGTTTTTAAGTGAATGGAAGCTAGTCACCTTCAACAGATGGTATCAATATGTCATGACACCAAGGAGAAAGGATAAGGCTATAACTGCAAAGCTGAAAAGACCCAAGTTGCTCAAGTTCAAGGATTTGAGCAATTTGGAGTAACTAGTCATATTTCTATCTTTCTTCCACATGCCTACATGCAGCAATCAGGTGTGAACAAAAATGCACTACAGTCCTTCAATTCCACTTACCTTTACAAAAGTAACTCGTGGATGTTCCTTTGCGAGTTCTGCCATGACAGTATTCATTTGAACACACTGAGGAGCCCATGGGGCCCAGAAATGAACCACCACTAAAAACCTGTGACAAAACAGAAGGGGGGAAACTGGTATTTTTGTTGAACAATTTAAGAAAACAAATCCTTGTTAAAAAAAAAAAAAAAAAGCAACTGAACCACCACTGTAAAATTTCAGGAAGCAGGACATTTTTCCGCCAAAGAATTTGAGAGTCACTTTTCACCAAAACAGACACTAGAGGAGTTGATGGACCAATGTATTGATTTCAGTGTACAGCAAATCCTGACACTCCCTAGGCCATGCTTCCAAATGCACTTTCTACATTTCACAACAGCCAAAGGATCAGCAGGGACATACTGACAGGAGCAACTGACTAGAAAGTACCCAAAAGACTGCCAGCCCAGGACTTGTCTGTGTGAAACTAGCAGAAACTATAGCAGAAACTAAAATTTAAACCTGTCAGTTCACTCCATCTCCCACAATACTGTTTTGTATGTCTGTTCAAGAAAGGATAGTGGTGTCATAAAGTGCTCTAGGAAAAAAACAGAAAATAACTAGTTATAGAACTATAAAGTTACAATAACAATTTTAGATATGATACTCCTTTTTTCTGGGGTTCAGGGGGATTACTCCCAGAATTATCAACAAAACCAGAAAATGTAGTCACTTTATTACTGTATTTGAACAATGTTTGACAAGGAACTCAAGCCAGTCAAAACAGTTTGGATTAACTTTTTATTAATTTATTTATTAAAATGAACTGCAAAATTCCTCTCTATTCATCTAAACATCTTACTTTATGCTCTCCTCCACTGCCCTTGCTTGAATATGGAAATGATGTGTTTGCCATGTAAGATCAACATTTAACAGGAAGGTTCCCTTGATCAGCAACAAAGAAACCGATCCAAGGAAACACCAAATACATTATATGAGTTCTCCTTTCGAGTTCAGTTCAATCTGGAAGTGATAATGTAATGAAATCTACAGGGAACTGAGGATGCCGACTAAATATCTGATTATACTATTTGGCATTCAATAAGTAGGCATTAAGTTGCAAATACAGGAACAGCAGAGTCAAGACTGATGTTTCCCCATGCATCCCCAACAGGGCTCAGCTGAGTGTAGTGATGTACAATAGTTTAAAATGCAGGAATTTACCTTGCCAGAGAAAATAAACCCTGACAACTAAAATATCTTGTCATTGGGAGGGTT